CAGTCAGGGTGGGATGGATGCCATCTCTCCACATCAGATCAGGTTTCCCCCAGAAAAAACTCCAGTTATCCACAAAGCTGATGTTGTGTTCAGAACACCACATAGATGCCCAGCGGTTAAATGAGGACATACGACTAAACGTCATCACTGCTAAGGTTAGGGAGGGGGCCAGAGAAAATTACAGAGTCCGACAGTCTATGCAAAGTTACAGACCGAAGCAACACTAATTTTAGTAACCTCCGATTGACGTAACCGAGTGTCATTTCCACCAAAGTGAATCACGACTTTATTGTACCTAGCATTAGCATTAGCTAGTAGATTCATATAGGATTCTATGTTGCCCACTCTGGCTCCTGGAATGCATTTAATCAAAGCTGTTGGAGTCCCTAAATCCACATTTCGGACTATGGAACTGCCAATAACCAGGGTCTGTTTCTCAACCGGAGTGTTGCTGAGTGGGGAGAAACGATTGGAAACATGAACGGGTTGACGGTCGGGAGGTTTTGCTTTAGCACTGTGCTTTTTCTGAGACATCACCCAGCTCGCTGGGGGCGGTGGCCCAACGGGATCCACCGAGGGACCGCTTTCAGGAGAGGCTACTCTCAGCGGCTCAGTGCTAGCCTGGCTAGCTGTTGGCTTCTCAACAGCGCCAAGACAAGCTTCTACTAAAGACAGCCTTGCCTCTAAAGCTGTCATAAGTCTACATTTAATACAAAAGTTGCCATGCCAAACGAGGCAGGGGATAAGCTAAACATCTCACACACGGAGCAAGTGAGGAAAGCCAAGGTCGGAGAAGAATGATGATAAGCAAACTTTAGCGGGAGCTACAAGATCCCGAAATCCACAAATAACACCAAGAAGTGTTGAAAAATAAAAAAAATAATAGATGTATTCAGCACAGTTCCAACACAAACAAACTACATCAAAYGTGATTTAGGACTAGAAGTAGAACCYTGCAAAGGTTGATAATCCAAATTCCCAAACAAACAAACAAATTGCCAAGCACAARCAGCAAAGCAGAAAAGATAAAATACATTACCCCATGTCTATCCTCACCCTGTCCCCTGAAAAACAGGAGCAGGTGTATGGAGAAAGACAATTTTGGTAGGAACTCTAAAGTTTGTTGTGCTTGTTAARGGAGCAGTCTTTCACTGTCAGTGTCTGAAAATTTAATTTTTATTTWAAATTTATTCTTCTGAATAATTGAAAACCATGTAAAGGCTCCCACACAATCAGGCGTACTGTGCGCATTCCATGAGCAGCGCGGACTCCGAACATTGTGTCCACGGATGTTTGAGACTTCATACTCAAGAGTAATGACCGCTGGTCAAATCCTTTAATTTCTCACAATTTCAGTCATGATGTCAATGATCAGGAGGAAGCGATATTTTGCATTTTAGCTTTAAAACAATAAAAGAAAAAAAAGAAAAGAACTACCTTACCCAAGATCTGAGCTATTTCGTCCCACAAATTTGTTGCTCGTTGAAAGTCTTTATATTCCTTCATTGACGCGTCATAAAGTTTTCTAATCTCCTCCATGAGACGCTTTTCAAGATTTGACTCCATTTTGTCCACAAATGACACAGATTCTCAACTTTATCAGCTTGGTGTCGCACCCAAAACAGTACATGCCATTGTGCGCACCGCGGACATAAAAAACTGATCTCTGCACGGATCAGTCCGGTGGATGTTTCGGGTCCGCAATGAGTCCGCCTCGAGTCCGAGTGGATAGACCAAAGTATGCCCGAGTATGTGGGGGCCTTTACACAGGTGTTTACACTTAAATTAAAAATATTTGACTAAAGAAAAACTGGAGCAGGACTAGGGAGAGATGAATATGATTTAGATTTTTATTTATGTGACTGCACGACCCACAGGAAACACGGCATTAACAGCAGTAGTTATTTCATCCTATTCTTTGGCTTTAGCTTGTCCTTTAATTCCACGACTGACGCTGCTAAAAAGGACATATTTTCTTTTCTCGATCTCGGAGAGCAGGACTTCAGTCTCCGAACTCGTGAAGTTCTTCTTTTTAGTTTTTCGCTGTCATTTTCATGAATGGACACTTCCTGATATCTGAGGCAGGAAACAGCCTTATATGGTGCTTTTGGGGTGGTAATTATGCTAATCTCCTCTCCGCGTGCACGAGCAGCTGGATACGAACAGGTGTAATTCATCAGTTTACGCAGCTCATTTACACACTTTTCCTGAAGATAGAAGAGTTTGTTGAATCTGACGTAGCATGTTCGTACGAACCCTTTGTACYAACAAAAGTAAGAGAAATTTAGGATAAGAATATGAACATGCTCTTGCATGAGGCCCAATGTTTCTAGTTAGTTTCATCAATGAGCCTGTAAATCTATTTTTCACTATGCCAAGACAAAACTGTTTATTATGCATCCAGTTGACATTGGTTCTATAAGGACATTGAGGTGCACATCGAGCTGCTCTGTTTTGAACRATTTTTAGAGTCTCTACATGAGTCCTAGCATCAGATGACCAAATCTCAGAGCAATAGCCCAGATGTGACAGAACAAGGGTTTTAATTACTTCTGCTGTAGTGTTCAGAGGTAACATGTGGCAACATCTTCTAACCACTGAAATCTCTGCCCATCCTGCGCACTACTCTACTAATATACTTAGACCYTGACAGATCTACATCATTTACAATCCCAAGTAGTTTGGTCTCTTTCACCTGCTCAACACATATCTTTGACAGTAAGACTCAGCTTGGGTTTATTCATAGCATATGCTTGGTTCCAAAAACAATACTTTTTGGCTTACCAACATAAAAAAATAATTTGTTGTGATTACCTCTATAAAAGCAGCATGATGGTCAAAGACAATMTTATACTGCCTGAAAGTAATGTGCAGTCACTGTGTTCAGTTTATTTTATTTTGTTTATTCATTTATGTTTCTTAACTCAAACCCTGATTATTTTGGTGAAATAAAACATGAAAAAAGAAACAGCAGCCATTTATATTGTTTTTAAAGGATATAACTTTTTTTTTAATCTTTTGCTTTGAGAACTTCTTTCAGCTGTTCCCTTTTCAGGGGCCTCCACAGCAAGTCATCGTCCTCCAACTCTCTCTATGTCCTCTGTCCTCACTCCAACTACCTCCATGTCCTTTCTAATTGCATCCATATATTGTGAGGTTTTGGTGGAGGAACCAGAATGCAGACACACATGGAACAGGAGGTTAAACTAAAACAAATCTTTAACAATAAAACAAGAAGCACATGTTTCAAACACAGCCCAAGCCAATAACACAATGCAATGATCTAAGGTTTAGGTGAAAGGACACTGACTAAATAGTGCAAGACTGATGAAGTATAAACAGCTGAGCTTATTAGGAGTGGTAACAGGTGTGAGTGYTAGATTGAGTGGAAAAACWCTGAGGAGTTGACTGAGGGAAAGATAAGGAATGACACAGGGCAAAATCTAATCTAAAGTGACAAAGAACATTAAACATWAGAATCATGAAATACAGAAACTTAAAAAATCAAGCAAGGAACAAAGTAAAACTAACAAAGAACCATAAAAGCACAACAAAAGCACAAGGATTCTAACATAAAGTATTTCTCCTCTTTATCTTTTTGTCCTGGCAGCTGCGCCTCTAGCATATTTCCTTCAATATARCCACTGACCCTCCTCTGGATGTGTCCAAACCATCTCAGTCTGATCTCTCTAACTATATSTCCCAATGATTCATCAATGATGATCTCATTCCTAATCTTATCCCAAACCATACAACACAGCTGATCTCACATCTCTTCTTTGGCCTTTGCTGCCACCCTTTTGTCACAAATCACTCCTGAAACTTTTCTCCATRCTGCTTGAACTCTTCACCACTCTCCGTTTTCCTGGACAGTGAATCCTAAGTACTTGAAGTCCTGCTCTTTTGTGACCCCTGCTCTTTGTACCCTCACTGTTTCACCTGCCTCCTTCTTATTCACACAAGTACTCTGTCTTGCTATGGGGATTTTTTTTAGTTTTTAAGTGAGAACTTTCACCTCTCCAAGCACCAGCACCTACACGTAGCCTAAATCTAACCACACACAGCACAAGCCTTATCCAAAATCGACCTCCTAATCACCCAACAGCATTCCAACGCACAGGGACTAAGTTAAGGAGAAGTGGGTCTTTACAAGATGGTGTGTATCAGAAAAGTGGTCCTTATAAGTTAGCTCTGTTATTGCACTATAAAATTTTTGGCAGCTTATGAACTTGTGAAACGTTTGTTCAATACAAAAGCTGAAGATGATGAAAAAAAAATAAAAAAAAGCTTAAGATGGAATTTAAAAACACATCTACTGAAGACTTTTAGGATTATGCATACTGTAAAGCTAACAAATAGATTGAATTTATAGCTGATATGAGTAAAATAATTGTGACAAAATTTTAACAAGTCAGTATAAGTTACCTAAAACATTATAGTGTGACAGAGCCTTTTACATGTACACACACATGGAAAACTATTTGCAAAAATATCTATCAGTGATTTAAAAATTGTCTGTTTACAGGCTCTGACAGAAATACAGATTTTGCTTAGGCACCTCCTTTTCACTCTGTCAGTAGGAAATCTATAACGAGTGAAACTATCAAAGATGTTTGTCACTTCCCCACTGCAGTTTACCTTGACAGTGATTTCACCATGTTCATCTTCTGTAACCTGGCAGTTCTGATGCTTGTGCTGAACTTTAATGGCCAGGGTGAGTCTCTTTTAATGGAGTATAAGTGCATGCTTTGCTTTGCATACATTACATTTTTTTGTACACATCTAAAATTACCTCCCTTTTTAACATCTATTAAGTTTTGTTCATCATAAAGCTGCTGATTATATTTGTTTGCTCTTGATTCTGCTTTTTAATGTTTTTAGCTTTTATGATTGATGTCACATAACTTGTTTTCATTATGAAACTAATCCACGTTTCATGATGTTKACAGTCTTGTCGTGGTTAATAATTTAGCCTGTCAAAAACTGTCATACAGTTCATGCAGCGTCAATCATTGGAGGTCATGTGGRTAAACTGCATACCAGGCCGTACATGGTGCTTGTGGAGAGGAGAAATAAATATTGTGAGCATAAATCACACTGTGGAGGATTTCTGCTGAGTGAAGACTTTGTGATGACTGCAGCCCACTGCCAAGTGGAGTCAGTTTCATTTATTTTATATTTCTGTAAAATTATTGTTGTAACAAATTCAACCGATAGACCTTTATTTCCTTTTTCCCCCCTTCAGATTTTATAATGTTCTCCTAGGGTTTAACAATTACGATGACAAACAAAAACTGAATATTTCTGTGAAACAAGCGTTTTCACATAAGGACTCCAATGACATTGAGTATATGAATGACATCATGCTGCTTAAGGTAAAATTAATGTGAATATTTACCGTATTCATTATGACTTATTTCTAAAAGTTTACAGTTATTCATTATTTCTGATAAAGTTATTGAAAAATCTAACTAAACACTGCACATGTCAGCATACCAATGTTGGATGTTTTTCCTTTAACTGTCCTGCTTTGTTTCTTTAGTTGTCTTCCAAGGTCAGCTTTACCAACAATGTGAAACCCATTGCTCTGGCAGATCACATTAATGGTTCTGCCAAAGAGTCTCTGCCAAAGTCCTGTTCAGTCGCTGGCTGGGGACAAAAAAGCCGTGAGAATACACAAATGTATCGTAAACTCATGGAGGTCAATGTAACACTTATTTATGAAGAGGAGTGTGCTGAGAAACATGCATTCTGCTCTGATGGAGAGACGGGAGCAGGAGTGGTAATTACAAACTTACATACAAATGTACWGAATTATATATTACAAACATAAAAGACTGATCATTCCTTTAAGAAATGCCAGTTAGATCTGGAGGTTTTAAATGACTCACAGTTACTAGCACATTAAATTTAAACTTGATTTTTGTAAACCTGATTGAGTCACAGCCATTTTTCTCCCTTTTGTTGAAAGGCAACGACAAAACTTTGAATATTTGTTTTTATTTCTCTTTTCGCCTCATAAAGTCACCACATTCTGTGTTTGTACTTCCAGGGAGACTCTGGTGGTCCATTAGTCTGTGAAGATGGTGGAGCATACGGGGTGGTGTCGGCTTCAAACCCCATGTTGTACAAGTAAACAAAAATAGCTGACTACAGAGACTGGATTGATATTATTATAAAAACTTGTAAAAAAAAGTTGAAGTGCTGATTTTATAACTGAGATATTGTATTTAGTRTCAGCAATGAAAAGACATTTTTGTATCTTATACTGCTACTGTTTGTTTTTATACTGCAGGCTGCCTAATTCCATGAATAAAATAATAGTTAAAGACGTTTGAGAACTTCACACTGGACAGTTTGGAACTGATGCTCCAGTTGTTTCAACTGAGAACTGAAATGTGAAAAGAAATATATAAGTACAAAATTTAGTCCACTTGTTTTGTTTTTAATTTGTTCTTGATTTAATGTGTGCATGATTYGGAATCTACACCAGCACCTGTACTCATGCTTTAGGATTTTGTTTTTTAATGGCTGCTTAATAAAATGTCTATTCATGTACTACAGCATTTTAAGTAAGATGAACTTCCAATGTGGTTTCATAAACTTACAAAAATAATTCAAATTAAAATAAAACAATAAATAAAGTCTATTTTAAGGCAATCAGTTTCCAACTTTTTTTTATTAAATACAACCTATTTGGTTTAACAATGTGCCTGTGTGTTGGTTGGAAAAAAAGAAAAAGAAAAACCTTTCTTTTAGCTCGTGTTCAGTGTGAAAGTGAAGGTACCAAATTATTTTACACACCTGCAAGTGAAATGACAAAAATAAAAAAYTAAAAACAATATAAAATAAAAACATGTAAGAGAGTTGAACTTTTGTCTAGACTCCATTTTAAAGAAATAAAACATTTACATTACATGCTTTAAGTTTTATCTCTGCTAAGGAGGTTCTGTTTTCTGGTTTATTTGTCTGTCTCTGCACACGATTACTCAGAAAGTTAGAAACAGATTTCCGTGAAATTTTCAGGAGTTCATCAGATTGTCACAAAGAATAAATGATTTTGAATACATGATAATAAAATTTTGGTGGTGATCTCACCATCCAGATCCAGGAATGTTTTTAAGGATGGCTGCAGCTCAAATAGGCCATCAGCTATGAAAAACACAATAATTCTTCTCCTTTCTTTAACATAATATCCAACTTTTGTTGTTCCTCTCATTTTATTTATAAACTCTCAGCAAACAGTCCATACAGCTAATGTCAGGTTCCTTCATTCAGTAAAATCTGTTAATGGGCAGCACTTGTCTGTGATGCATTCTAGATGGGGMGGGGGGGGGTGACTACTGAGTAGATACTAAGGACACCAAAGAGGAACTACTTTAATGAGTTAATGAGTAGTTACTAAGTAGTTATCTAGTAGTTACTAAGTAGATGCTGAATAGTTAATAAGTAGTGACTGAGCAGCTACAGAAATCAAAGAGGAACTACTGAGTAGGTACTGAGTAATTAAGGACAACAAAGAGGAATTACTCAGGAACTACTGAGTAATTAGAAAAGACTTAGTAATTGCGCTGTAACTACTGACATAAAAAAACTTTACAGTAAAAATGACATCTTGCTTTGTTAGCCAGGTTAGGAGCAGCGTCAGMTTTTCCCAGGCAGGATTCATTTTCAGCAGTCTCCGCCTCGCTCTGAAAGTAGCAGGGTTGCTAAACGAGGTTTCCTACGTATCTTATGGCATTCTGACTTTAAAAAATGTCCTTTTTGATGTGTCGCAGGCACATGTATGTGTGATGAAGGGTGGACACGAGGGTAAAATCATTTTGTAACTTTAGGGACATTGGTAGTATYATGCATGCATTTTAACCCTTAAATGCAACAGTATACTGTACATCACGTGTCAAACTACTTCCGTCCAACCCGCCAAAGTTTAATGTGCAAATAGTTTTATGTCAAATGTAAACTTTGAATTTATGATTCAATGCAACAAATTAAACAAATTAAAAGGCGAAATATACTTGCGAGGTCCCTGAGATGCTTACTTTGAGTAACTGTGGCCCCCTGAGCAATTTAGTTGAATAGCCCTGTTTTAATGTCTTAAAATAAGCTGCTTTAAAGCCAGCATTGACCATAAACTACATCTCTCATAGTGCGTGTCGATTGTGCATGGGATTCTGCTGTTAGAAAAGGGGAGAGTTCAGAATTCAGGACAGCAGCTACTCATCACAACTCACRAGTGAGTAAACTCCTACTTCTACTTTTAATAGTTTTTCTGTGTTATTTATTTCACATTTAGGTAGTCGTACACATAGTAGTTTTCAGTGTGACATTTTAAAAAATTGTTTCTGTGCAGGAAATACCACCTAGAGCTTAGTTATTGTTTGTTAGCAGCTCAGCTGTAGCAATGAGACGAGGAACGTGACATTTCCTGTTTAGTCAAGTTAAACACAAAACAAAGTTAATACAACTAGGAGTGTCCCGATACCAGTTTTTTCAAGACTGAGTACAAGTACGAGTACTTCAGTTTAGGTACTCACCGATATCGATACCAAAACCAAGTAGCGGGGTTAGGGTGGATTATCTGTTCCACTTGTTGAATATTAAACAGAATTAAAATGAAATGCAATTATCATGCAAAAATTGATGGGTAAATATTATGTTTGACAATAAAAAGGTAGTGCAAACTCTGACAAGTAGATAAGTTGGTAAATATATATATATAACACCATAAGTTTTGAAACCGTTTATTTTATTTCAAACAGGCTCTTTTTATAAGGCCACACTCCCTCTGAATGTATTAACAAAACAAATACTGCAAAACAAATGCTGTTGCATACATTAAAAAACAAAATAAGTTATTTTTTATACATTTTCCTCAACATGCAACTATCAAATTTAAATTAAAATGTAAACTATAACGTAAATTTTAGCAGCACATCTGTAGAAGTTTACTCTGCTTCAGTTTTAAACTAAAAAAATGACTAATAGTAATAAAGTGCAGTAATTTCATTTCAAACTTAAATGGAACAACTAAAACAAAATCTCAGAAGAACCAGAGGGAAAAATAAAATGCTTTTACAACAAACTTCCTTCCATATTCTGCTTATGTCTTAGTTTGTTCTACAAGAAAGAAAAAACAGCATTGAATTTACTGCAACACCTGCAGCATAGTGCTGTTTATGAAGGCTACTGCTAGCAGCAGCAAACTCTTTGAATTCTTTGTCATGTCTTGTCCTCAAACGTTGAATCAAATTGCTGGTGTTAAAACATCCAACTTCCGCTCCTCCCCTCGACAGTTTAGCAGAACACAGCAGACAGTCTGCTTGTTTGGTGTCCTCCGTGTTGCTCTTAAAATATCTCCAAACTGCCGACAAGTTACTTCTTCTTCTATTGTCATCGTTCTTCTTCTGTTATTCGGGGTGCGGTCAGAAATAACTTGTCAGTGCGTTAGCGCCACCGCCTGGTATGGATTGTTGTTTACTCTTTGTGCTGCAGCGCAGCACAGGAGGGGACAAAAGCGGTATCGGTTAAGAGTATCGGCCGGCTTTTAAGAGTACGAGTATGAGTACTTGATGCTGGTATCGGACCCGATACCGATACTGGTATCAGTATCGGGACACCCCTAATTACAACTAGACCTTTGAGGGCCACCACGACACTCAAGTGGCCCTCGATGGAAATATATTTGACACCCCTGATGACTGTGAAAAAAAAGAAAATTCAAAAGGGGCACTTGCCTGGTCAAGAATAAAAGTGGCAGGTGCTCCATCTCCACCTCAGGCTTACAGTATCTGTGCATGTTCCTGCCCATACGACACGGTTTAATTTATTAGGATTCTCCCAGTCACTTGCTTCCCTGATAATTCAAAGTGTGAACTTATCAAGTMTTTTTTTAGCTTTTACACATTATAATAACTTCAGTACACTTTGTATTTAAGAAAACAGAAATAATTCTGACTAATGGGTAGAAATGGTGCATAAAACATGCTCCCCACAACTCAGCTGCTGTCGCTTGGTTGCGTCAGGGAGGATATTTGTTCTAATTCAGCTAAGAAATCTTTCTGTGTGTTCACTCACTGTGGCACCCCTAACGAAGCTGAAAGCCAAAACGTAAAATAAGAAACAAGTCCAAGTACTCCTATTAACAAATAAACTTTTAATGCAATGCATGTCAAGAGACGTATTTCGGTTGTGGCTCAGAGTCACATCCTGTGCAAACTGCAACGCCTCCTCTTTCTAAAAAAACCTTATAAAAAGTGTGAAACGGTGTAGTTGTTCGACTAATTTCTTCTGCAGCTCAACAGGGCTGTGATCTCACCATGTTCCTGGCAGCGCTGATGCTTGTGCTGACTTTGAATGGGGAAGGTGAGTCTCTTTTTTTTGTTTTGTTTTAATTATTAACAAATCATAATGACTTTTCTGTGACTTTAGCACTCCTAACTTGGCCATTTAAAATGCCCCAGTGCATGCAGGTGAAATCATTGGAGGCAACGTGGTTAAACAATATAGCAGGCCATACATGGTGCTTCTGGAATGGAGAAATCAGATGAATGTCACAGAGTACTGCGGGGGATTCCTGCTGAGTGAAGATTTTGTAATGACTGCAGCTCACTGCTGGGCCACGTCAGTTAAACATTATTTGTTTCATTAATAAGAAGACGTCAACTTATGCATGAAAATCTGACGTTTTTTTTTTCCTCATTTTTTTTTAGGTCCTATCGAGTTTTCCTAGGGTTACATAGTTTCCGTGACAATGAAAAAATTGTTTTGACTGTGAAACAAGCCTTTCCACATAAAGAATACAGTAATCAAACATACCAAAATGACATCATGCTGCTGAAGGTAAAACATTCTTGATATGTTTCTAAATATAATCGTAAAAATTTGTTTCAATCATTTCAATGTTTTTCCTATAACATTTTCACAAATCATCAAGGTAAAATAAGAAACAAATACAGAATGAAGAKATGCCAGTGATCTTTCTCACATTTTTGTCTGTTTAGTTGTCTACCAAGGCAACGTTTTCCAATAGAGTGAAACCTATTCCTCTGGCAGACCAGGAAGGCGACTCTTTGCCAAAGTCATGTAGCGTCGCCGGCTGGGGACCAACAAGCATAAACGGACCACTGTCCAACAAACTCATGGAAGTGAACGTCACTCTGACTGATGATGAGCAGTGTGTTAAACAAAACGTGTACTGCTCGAAGGGCAAGGGACCTTATATAGTATGTATATTTTTTAATTAACTCAAATAAACAAGCTTGGTCAAAATTAACAAATGCTTCATTATTCATCTCATAAAATCACCACTTTCTGTGTTTTTTTTAGGGAGACTCTGGCGGTCCGTTAGTCTGTGAAGACGGAAAGGCCTATGGGGTGGTGTCTCAGGGCATGATACTATCCTCTGATTCCATCTTATGTACATATACTAAAATACCTGACAGCAGAGAATGGATCACTTACATTATGGGAGAAATTTGAAAGTGCTTGCTACATGTTACTCTGACCAAATCCTGCTTCTAAGTAACAAAATTAGGTAAATTTCTTTGTATGCATATTTTTAATGAAGCGGTAGTATATACTTCTATATGGTTTTATGTGTGCATTTTTGCTGAATAAAAAGTTGGTTGTTTATGACTTATCTGTTCTCACATCTACTTTTAAGAAAAACAAACTTACACACACACACACACACACACACACACACACACACACACACACACACACACACAC